TGGAGTTAGATAAGGATCAAGAGAATTCATGGGACGTCGGACTAATTTGGCTTGCGGCTACGTAGGGATTCTAGACTGAGCGCTCTTTTGACTCTGCCCCCGGGCTCTGCCACTCCATCTCCAATGGCTACTCTAAGTGTTATACCTACATCCTGTCAGCTTTGGAGGCTGTATTAGCACCAGACCCTTCCACACTGCCACATTCTTGAGCCTGGGAAAATGGCAGGGGGGCATTTCTTGGAGCGTATGGGGTTAGACACAATAGCATTCTTTTTCTAAGTCAAGGTCATGTTGTTTCTGCACCTGGTTGAGAGGACATCTCAAGCTGGGACAGAGGGGGATTGGGGCATGTGATGCAATGATGGATGCAGGGGGTGGATTTGTAATTTTTAACTTATTGGAGGGATTCTTGGAACTTTCAGATTCGGGATTTCCCAGACGTGCCAGTTTACTTACTCTAATAAAAGGAACCTTTGAGAAGATGTCTGTCTCGGAGTTATTGGTTGGAGTGGAGGTTTTCTGGAACACTGACACTTGCTTCTGGTTATAATGCAGGAGCATATAGGTATAACACTTATTTATATACTGCTTTACAGGGCTTTTACAACCCTCTCTAAGCAGTTTACAAAGTCAGCCTAATGCGCCCCCCACAATCTGGGTCCTCAGTTTACCCACCTCAGAAGGATGGAAGGCTGAGTCAACCTTGAGCCGGTCAGGATCGAACTGATGGCAGTGGGCAGAATTATCCTGAAAATTTGCATTCTAACCACTGGGAGGGAGGGAGGGAAGGAAGGAATTAATAGCACTTAGACTTAGATACCTCTTTTAAAGTAGTTTACAGCCCTCAACTTAATGAAGTCTGAGTCAACTTTGAGCCGTCACAATCGAATTCCTGGCAGTGGGCCGAATTATCCTACAATACTGCATTCTAACCACAAGGAAGGAAGGAAGGAAGGAAGGAAGGAGGGAAGGAAGGAAGGAAGGGAGGGAGGGAGGGAGGGATGGGGAAGGGAAGGGAAGGGAAGGGAAGGAGGGAGGAAGGGAGGGAGGGAGGGAGGAAGGAAGGAAGGAAGGAAGGAAGGAAGGAAGGAAGGAAGGAAGGAAGGAAGGACAATAGTATTAGCAATAGCACTTAGACCTATATACCACTTTAGTGCTTTCCAGCCCTCTCTAAGCAGTTTACAGAGTTAGCCTGTTGCCCCCAACAATCTGGGTCCTCGTTTGACCGACCTCAGAAGGACGGAAGGCTGAGTCAACCTGGAGCCTGGTGAGATTTGAACTGCTGGCAGCCGGCAGTCAATAGGAGTGGCTTGCAATACTGCATTCTAACCCCTGGGCCACCACGGCTCTTAAGTGAGTTTTGCCCCATTTTACAACCTCTTTCTTGCCAGAGTTGTTTAGGGAATCTCTGCAGTTGATAAAAGTTCACAACATGTTTGTTAAATGAATTTAGATTTCCCCGTTGACTTTGCTTGTCGGAAGGTCGACCGTCGATAAACACGAGCCAAAATACGATGCCAAAGCACCTGAATGTTGACCGCATGATCCCGGGAAAGCTGTAATGGTCATAAGTGTGAAAAAATGGCCATAAGTCCCTTTTGTTTTCTGTGCTGTTGTAACTTCGAATGGACACTAAGTCGAGGACTACCTGTGTTCTCTGCAGCATTTCTAAACCTTTGGCTCGTCAAGGTATGTTGTTAAGCAGCGAAACATGTCAAGTTTTGATTGCACGTTAAATACCAGATTATACTGTAACTATTTGGGTGGGGGAAAAAAAAAACAAGGCACGATTTGTCCGGGGTGTCTGGTTAATATTGAAATATATTCCCAAAACGTAGATCTGGAGCAGCCTTAAGGGGAAAATAACGGGAAGCCAAAATTGCACCGTTGCATGGCAACCGGTGATGTACATATGGTGATTTTCACAGAACAAAAACTTGGTTTATATTTCAGGCATAAACAACCAAATAGCAAAGATAATAACTGGGCTTCTCTCGCTCTCTCAACCAGCCAACTCTCTGGAAAAGAATGCCATTCCGGCCATTAAAAATATTAAAACTGCTCAATTAATCTTTTTTTTTCGTTGCACACTGAGGAACCTGTCCCAGATTATAACCACCGTTATGAACACTGTTAGAATACAGAAAACAAATAAAAATTCAGTAACCGACAGGTCTGAAACGTTGAAAATCCAAACAGAAGAGAGGGAAAAATGCAGAATTCTTTACAGAAAAGATGTGTTATGAGCGGTGTACAGCTTGGGCGGCTTCAGTAACGTGGGGGAAATCCTCGCAAATCACACCCAGCTTTCTTCTCTTCCTCACTAATCAAGTTACATGAAGGACTGGCGGCCCAAGTGATGTCTGATGATCCGGGACAGGGCGCAAAGGCAACTCAGCCAGATAATAAGTAGAGGTCCATTTATTAGCTCCAACTTTGCTCCCAATGTCCCGGTTACCTTCCGGTCTGGAGAAAAACTATCCCAGGAAGCTGCAACAGCCTTTGGCTACAGATATTCCAATCCAAAATGGTGTAAACAGAAAACTTTAAACTATAAACCCAACAAAGCAAGATAAGGTAATAAATCCGGCAAAGCAAGATAAGGAGTTCCAGAAGTGAAGTAACACGGGAGTAAATCCAACCAGTTGGGAGGATGCCAGGGATTAAGATAACAGCAGCCAACATTAGATAAACTCAACGTTTATTCCCAACAAACACCCCTCCAACTGCCTCTCCTTTAAATTCCCTCCCCAGGTGTGCCTTGTGAAGGGAATCAGGGCCCTTTCCTCCCTCATAAGCCATGCAACTCAAATTGCTCCCTTCTCTGTTCCTCCCTGCGTGCCCTAGGATGAAGAGGGGGTGGGCCTTGGTATTCCTCTGAACCCCCTCTCCCTTGTTCTACCCCTTCCCTGCTCTGCCCAGCCAGACTTTGCCCTTCCCCAGTTTCCTCCACAGCCAACGGAGCCACATTCCCGCTCCCTGACAGCTGTTCATCTTCCTCCTCAGATTCAGACTCCGACAGGGCATGACAAGATGTTGTTTCATCATGCCCTTCCTGTGTGCAGAATTGTACAGCGGAGTCACCTTGGTGTTGTGATTTCAACTCCCCAGAGAAGGTAGACAAATCAACAATCCCACATAACTTGCTGAGAACGTCACACGGAACCCAAAGCCAGATTTGGTTTCCACCAGCCTAGTAAATGTCTGCCAAGCATTCCTCTCAGCTTCCTTGAACTCAGGCTGGGTTTTAGAGATGACAAGGTACGGAAGGAAGGAAGGAAGGAAGGAAGGGAGGGAGGGAGGGAGGGAGGGAGGGAGGGAGGGAGGAAGGAAGGAAGGAAGGAAGGAAGGAAGGAAGGAAGGAAGGAAGGATGGATCGGCAATATAAACTTGAGAACAGCTCAATAAATTATGTTTTCTAGCTGAATTATATCGGATGAACTCTAGTCAAGTTGAGATTTGCAACTTAAGGTATCTGGATAGCTTCAAACCAGAGTCCAAGAGCACCAGTTGAGTTAAGTGTGGGAAAAAGTACAGCTCTGAGTATGAAACCTTCTGCTTAAGAAGAACTAAACTCATGCCTAGAAATTTATAGACATTTTCAGGAGTAGGGGGGAGTGGAATACATTGGAGTAGGAATAGAAGAGAACAGAATAGAATAAGAACAGAATACGGATAGAATAAGGATAGGATAGGATCAGGGTAAGAAGGATAATGATAAGGAGAGGACCTTGGAGATCTTCTTATCCAACCCCCTGCTTAGGCAGTAAACCCTACACCACTTCAGACAAATGGTTATCCAATTTCTTCTGAAAAACTTCTAGTGTTGGAGCCCCAACAACTTCTGGAGGGAAACTTTTCCACTGATTAATTGTTCTGACTGTCAGGAAATTCCTCCTTAATTCAAGGTTGCTTCTCTTCTTTCAGGAGCTTTGGAGAATAGCTTGACTTCCTCTTCTTTGAGGCAGCCCCTGAGATATTGGAAGACTGCTATCATGTCACCCCTGGTCCTTCCCTTCACTACACAAGCCAAGCTCAGTTCCTGCAACCTTTCTTTATATATTTTAGCCTCCAGTCCCCTAACCGTCTTTGTTGCTCTTCTCTGCACTCTTTCCAGAGTCTCAATCTCCTTTTTTTCCATCGTGGAGACCAAACCTGGATGCAGGATTCCAAGTGTGGCCTTAGCAAGGCCTTATAAAGTGGTATGAACACTTCGCGGGACCTTGATTCTATCCCTCTGTTAATGCAGCCTAGAACTGCGTTGGCATTTTTGGCACCTGCAGCACATGGTGATCGTCCACTAGGCTAGCTGGCTCTTTTACCTTTAACTCTGATCCTCCAGCATAAGGATGCGTGGAACCTGGTCGCGAGATCAAATTAACCCGAAGACAGCCAAGGGTATCTCCAAAGCAGAGGAGCGGGACTTCGATTCACTTACGGCATTACCTGCCATTTTGCAAGTTCAGGGGCTATGCCAGTGGGGGCTAACACTTTTTTGGGCTCCTGTGTCAAAAATTGTGTGCGCGCTTGCACGCTCGCATTCGTGTGCTAGCACCCAGAAGGCAATGCACGTCCCCCCGCGCTCCCTACGCATGCACACGTAATTCCCATCCACCCAACCTCGCCACCCCCTTACCTGCACTGAGCCTCACAGCTGATTTTCGGCTGGTTTGAGGCCTTTTTTGGCCTTCTGGAGGCTTCTGCAGGCTTTGCAGGCCGAAAACTAGCCCTGTTTCATCACTTCTGGTATTTTCCGAAAAACAGGAAGTGATGAAACGGGGCTAGTTTTCGGCCTGCAAAGCCTGCAGAAGCCTCCCTCAAGCCTTTGGGAGGCCGAAAAAGTCTTCAAACCGGCCAAAAATCCGCTATGAGGCACGCACTTGTGCAGTGAAGTAAATTTGCCTGCAGCTCACATGCTGGCACAAAGGGCTCTCCATAGGACCTGTGGCACGTGTGCCATAGGTTCGCCATCACAGGGCTATGCCATCCATCCTGCTTACCTCCAGAGCTCTCAGTGAAGACGGTTAGGGTCTGCCCCCCCACGTTTTGCAAAAGGAAAGGGTGGTCTCTCGGCGCGCTGATGGAGGTCGCCTTCCCCCTGATATCGTTGATGTTGGCGAGATCTTCATTCAAGGTGAAAGAGACCTTGGGAGTAGAGAAACAGCGTTTAATATTTATCACCAAGGAAAAAAGGCTTGATGGGGGCTGGCAAGATTTGCTGCAAATATTTTTTTTAATTCCGCTTTTTAAAATTGTTTATAAAAGAAAAGAAAAAAGAAAATAGGAAATTAAGGGAAGGAAAGAGACTGGGAAAAGCGGGTGTGAAAGACAAGGGGGAAGAGAAAAGGAAAGAAAAGGGGGCATTGACTTTTAACTCTTCCTGCTGTCAGGGTTCCTGCGATTGCCCTCATTAAATCATGAGCCTCCAGCCAAGCATCAAAAGAACCCAAAAGATTTATTAGGAGCAACATGTTGGCATTGACCCATATGAAGCCAACTCTGCCACACACACTTCAGGGTCACCTGTGACCCTGTTTTCCCCCTCGGGTACGTCATAAATCAGATTCTCCAACCCGAAGCACGTTCACAGGCTGGGTGTCATCAATCACATTCTCCAATGAAGGATTTTTGTGGGTAGAAGTTCCGGTAGTCTAGGCTACAATCGTTGTAAGATAAAGGGTGGAATGTACTTCTGGTTTTAATTGCCTTAGGGGCCTAAGCACGGACAGCTCATTTTCCCATGGGAAGAAGAATCACCTAGCCAAAACAACTCTATCTCCACTCCTCCCCCCTGAAGGACTGTGGCAAGCCTGAAACCCTTCCCCCCATGACCGCCACAAAGAAAGTAAGAAAAAGAATATACACTAAGTCTAAATAAAATGGCTACACAGATGTCAATTTCGGGCTTCACAGTACGGCTCCTTCAGGTTTTTCCCCCCTCATGCTTATGGCAACTCGAAAAAAGGAATGCTTTACGAGTTGACACCTAACACAGTACAAGGGTAAATACACTCCAACCCCAACGTTTGGCTTTTACACATTAATATATCACTAGCCATTTCTAGAACACCAAATCTTTCTAATCACCAAAACCAAAGTCAAAGTTTTCATTTTTTTTTCTTCACAAGCACACATTCCAGAAGTGATACCCAAATAAGAACCTATTTTCCTCTTTAAATAAAGTGTTCAAGTTAACCATTCCTGCTTTATCTTCCTTGCTATGGAAATAGCAAAATGCATTTACAAAATGCATTGTGTTCTTTCAAATTATTTGGCCTTACTGAAGGAGAGGGAAACCATTACTCACTCTTTCTTTCTTTCTTTCTTTCTTTCTTTCTTTCTTTCTTTCTTTCTTTCTTTCTTTTTTTCTCTCTCTCTCTCTCTCTCTCTTTCTTTCTTTCTGCCTTTCTTCCACCCTCCCCTTTCCCTCAAAGCACTAAACTTTTTAAAAACCCACAAACAAAAACACACTTTTAAAAAAAATCAAAATACATCTGATTCTTTGCCCTTACCATGCAAGCTTTAAAGTTCAATATTGCATTAATGCAATACTATATTAAAGTTTTAATATTGCAGGGGCTGGAAAGATTTGAAGGTAGGCGGGAGTCCATTTTGGTCGTTTTCCAACAGAGTCTGAATCTTAACAGCATTTCCTCAAATCAACCCACGGGTGCAAACAAATTAGGGTTTTTTTTAAACATTTTTTAAAATACAGGTAGTCCTTGACTTAGAACTATTCCTCTAATGGCGCTGAAAAAAGTGACTCAGTGACCGTTTTTCACTCTCACGGCCGTTGTAGCATCCCTTTGGTCACGCAATCCAAATTTGGGCACTTGGCAAGTGACTCGTACTTACAACGGTTGCAGCGTCCTGGGGTCAGGTGATCCCGTTGCGACCCTCCTGACAAGCCAAGTCAACAGGGAAGCTATTCACTTAATAGCCGGGCTACTAATTTATCAACTGTGGTGATTCACTTAACGAGGGTGGCAAGGAAAGTCGCAAAAAGGGGCAAAATTGACTTAACGACTGTCTTGCTTAGCCACATAACCTTTGGGCTCAATGGTGGCCATAAGGCGAGGACTACCTGCGCTATCTTCTCTAAAATATCTTTGGACGAGAGCACGAACTACTATTGAAGGGATAATCCATAGCTTTGTCTAATCATAGCTACGAGCCTCGGTGGGGCAGGGTTTAGAGTACTGTACTGCAGGCCACTTCTGCTGACTATCGGCTGTTCGAATCCCACCAGGCTCAAGGTCGACTCAGCCTTCCGTCCTTCCGAGGTGGGTAAAAGAGGAGCCAGATTGTTGGGGGCATGAGGCTGACCCTATAAACCGCATAGAGAGGGGTGCAAAGCACTGTAAAGCGGTATATAAGTCTAAATGCTATTGATACCTACCTTCCTTCCCTCCCTCCCTCCCTCCCTCCTTCCTTCCTTTCTTTCCCTTCCTTTCCCTCCCTCCCTTTTCCTTTCCTTTCCTCTCCTCTCCCTTCCCTTCCCTTTCTTTTCTTTTCCTTCCTTTCCCTCCCTCCCTTCCTTCCTTCTCTCCCAAAGGTTAGAGTGCAGTACTGCAGGCTACTTCTGCTGACTGCTGGCTGCCTGCAATTTGGCAGTTCAACTCTCACCAGGCTCCAGGTTGACTCAGCCTTCCGTCCTTCCGAGGTGGGTAAAACGAGGACCCAGATTGTCGGGGGGCAAGAGGCCGACTCTGTCACCCGCTTAGAGAGGGACTGTGAAGCCCTGCGAAGCGGCATATAAGTCTAAGGGCTACTGCTATACCAATAATAATGACAAAAGCAGAGAAAATGAAAACTAGAAATTCTGGGATAAGGCTCCAATTTTCAAGTGACCTTCTTTGAGGCATGAGGTCTTTATTGCTCTTTTCGGCCTTCCAGATTTAATGGGAATGCAACACCCTTTTCTGTCGGTTAAACCAGCCTGGCCAGCGACTCCCAATTTTCAATCCCAGTTGGATCCTCTCATCATACCCTGCCCTAATTTTATGACAACATTTTGGACAAAGTGTTGTCCGTTCTTTATACCCCGGGAAGAGAAGCACTGTAAAATGGTATGTAAGTGGAAGTGCAATTGCTATTGCTATGTCATGTCCGGCCGGAAGGGAGACATGAAGCAAAATAGGACTGGAAGGGAGCTTAGAGGTCTTCTAGTCCAGCCCCCTGCTCAAGCAGGAGACCCTAGATCATTTCAGGCAAATGGCTCTCCAGTTTCTTCTTAAAAACCTCCAGTGATGGAGCAGCCACAACTTCTGGAGGCAAGCAGTCCAACTGGTTAACTGTCCTCATTCCACGTTGCTTCTCTCCTGGGTTAGTTTCCATCCATTGTTTCTTGTCCTGCCTTCTGGTGCAAATAAGTTGACCCCCTCTCCTCTTTGTGGCAGCCCCTCAAATACTGGAATACTCCTATCATCCTTCTTTCCTCCAACCCAGTTCCTCCAACCGTCCGTCGTATGTTTCAGGCTCCAGGCTTTTAATCATCCAACTTCCCCTTCTTGACATGACTGGAATTTCATGTCAAACGCCTCCCCCCCAAAAATACAACCCTTTATTATTAGTGGCTAAAGAGCCACCTCCAGTGCCCCTCAAAAAATGCATGTGATATATATTTAATATATCATTACCCCGTTGTTGCCTCGGAAAAGTGCCGAATTTTGATTGCCCCGTAATTCATTCTGGTGCGTTTCATTCACGGCAGCTCAGAGAGGCCCTGCTGTGTCAGAGTTAATATGTATGGAAATTCAGTTTTTCTCTGTCTCTGCGTGATCATTTGGTCTCTCACCCTATTAGCCTTTAAAGCCCCCTTCTGAAGTAAAGCTTGGCTTGAAAATTACTCCCTTTTTTGTTTTTGTTTTTTGGCTTAGCTCTTCCTTTCCCTTCACTTCCCACTCCAGGAAAAAAAACAAAAACAGAGGACTGAAATGAAGAAACCATCGTTTTATGCTGTTTACTATTTTGCAAAATCTATTTCTACCCCACCCCCTTCCTTGGGATACGGTGAGTAATCAAATTACAACGTCCAACAAGATAGCGCAGGATAACTCAATTGTTATTCTAAAATATCGACTTCCTTCGTAAAGGAAGCATCTGTTCATTTGTTTGTTTTTTTTTGCATCCAACGTTTAGCAAATTGCCTTTCATCTTTTTGTTTTTTTAACTTTGCGCATTTTAGGGACGCTCTGGGTTCAAAACACGACAAATCTAGGATGGGATCGGATTTATACGAGAGACCGCTAAGAAGCGAAGCAAAAACAAGTCAAGTTCTAAGAAGAAAGCCTGGAATGATTTAAATAAGTAACAGCATAACAAGAGCTGGAAGGGACCTCCAAGGTCTTCTAGTCCAACCCCCTGCCCAAGCAGGAGACCCTAGACCAGGGGTGTCCAACCTTGGCAACTTTAAGACTTGTGGACTTCAACTCCCAGAATTCCTCAGCCAGCTTGTGGACTTCAACTCCCACAATTCCTCAGCCAGCTGGCTGAGGAATTCTGGGAGTTGAAGTCCACAAGTCTTAAAGTTGCCACGGTTGGACACCCCTGCCCTAGACCATTTCAGACAACTTCAGTACTGATTTGAGAGAACTCTATTTCAAAATACAGGCATGCATAAGGATAGTCATTAATCTATTACTTACTTCTGTTCTTCCTTGATTTCTGTAAAAGAAACAAAACAATATTATTTTTAGGGCTAATTTTTTCTAGTGACGACAACACAAGCAACACATTCCCAAAAGATGTTTAAATTTCTATGCAGTTTGATGCTATTTTTATGGGCGGGCCGGCTATTTCGGCTGCAAAGAGATACCCCCCTCTTCATGTTATTGTGGTATTCTTTGCTAAGTGGTGAAGCAAAACAGATGCCTTATATTTTGCAGCTGGTTAACTATCATTTCAAGCCTTAAAATTCCGGTGCTCCTCTCCCCAAAGTTAGTTTCCTTTATTGTCCTTGCACCTCGTACAACGAAATGAAATGCCATCTTCAGTGTACATTATACATAAAAAATAAAATAAAACAAAAATATACATCCTTTGCATTCTATATTCAAAAAAAAAATATGAATGGAAAACCCCTGATATTGCATGAATATTGCACTATGCAGTAGAATTCAATAGGGTTCCTGCCCTGGGATAGAAGCTGTTTTTCAGCCAATTTGTCCTTGTTTTTATTGCCCTGTACCGTCTGCCAGTTGGTAATAGTTCAAAAACAAAAAAGGGCGCCCAGGATGAAATGGATCTTTGAGAATGTTTGGAACTTTCTTAAAGCTCTTCCAAAGAGGGGAGAGAGTAATGGGATAGAAGCTGTTTTTCAGCCTATTTGTCATTGTTTTTATTATTCTGCACCATCTGCCAGATGGTAATAGTTCAAAAAAAGGGGGTTCCCAGGATGAAATGGATCTTTGAGGATGTTTTGAACTTTCTTAAGGCAGCAGGAGCTATAAAACTCTTCCAAAGAGGGGAGAGGGCAACCCATGATCTTCTGGGCAATGACGTTCACCCTCTGGAGCGCTGTCCTATCTGCCACTGTGCAATTGGCAAACCTTACAAAGATGTAGTAAGTTAAGATACTCTCTCTGATGCAGAGGTAGAAGGTCACCAGCAGTTTTCCATTCAGCTGTTGTTTCCTGAGAAATGTCAGGCCGTAGAATCCCCGCTGGGCCCTTAGAGGCTAGCCACTTTCTGCAATATGTAAAATATAAGCGCTCTTACTTGGCAATTCTTAGTTTTCCTACTTCGCCTCTTCCTAAAGCTTTATCCCATTGCTGAGACAGGTATTTTGGAACCTAAAAGGAATGGAGAGGGGGGGAAAAACAATCAAGAAAGATCTGCAACAAATAGCAACACACGGGGAAGAAAGCAGCCCCCCAAGGTGGGTGGAATCAATGAACTTGCTGCTTTCAACATACATACAGTAATAACAAAGTTCCACGTTTTTACTCTAGCTTTCCATTAGGCCCAAAAGGAAAAGTTCTGGTTTCATTTTTATCTCCATTTCTCAAAAAACTTTCTGTATTAAATTGTGAATCATGCTCCAAATTTTTTTTTTTTTGCTTTATCGCATGTCCACCACAGATGATAAAAACTCAATTCATAATATTCTGATAATATTTCCAACACGTTTCTTTCCTCTGCTTAGCTTCCTGCCCTGGAGAAAGTCAATAAAATGCTACAAGGTGCTATATTTTTTTTTTTTTAAGAAAAATCAGATTTCTAGTGGTATCCTGCCAGTGCAGGCAAGAGTTCAGACAGCAGCAATGAAATAATAATAGGCTTATTTATCGCTAAACACTCTGGCCTTTTTTCTCCAGCAAGTTTATAAAGCACACTGTCTTCATTGGAGCAAATCAAGCAGAATATTTGGCTCCTGTATTAGGTTAACATTGATTTCTGCTCTTGCTTGCAAGGCAGTATTACTGTCTCTTCTCTTGCACTAGGAATGTTTGTAACAAAAGGCTTAGGCTTCTATCACAAGTCATGGAAGAAAAATGGAATTCATAACACCACCAATCCAATCCTCTGGCTGGATCACTCAAGATTCCCCCCACCCAAACAAAAACAAAAAAAACAGCATGTTGCTCTATTCAACTTACAAAGGTTCATTTAGTGAATGTTTGAAGTTACAGTGCACCGAAAAAAGTGACTTATGACTGTTTCTCACAGTTAAATGAACACCTAATATCAAAAACGTCATCAAAAAGGCCCAACAAAGAATGTTCTTTCTGCGCCAACTCAGAAAGCTCAAACTGCCCAAGGAGCTGCTGATCCAGTTCTACCGAGGAAGGATGGAGTCTGTCACCTGCACCTCTATGACTGTCTGGTTTGGCTCTGCAACCCAACAGGACAGACACAGACTTCAGAGGATAATTAGGACTGCAGAACAAACAATTACTACTAACCTGCCTTCCATGGAGGAGGACGTGTATCCTGCAACCTGAGTCAAAAAGAGGGCCGTGAAAATATCTAGGGACCCCTCACATCCCGGACATAAACTGTTTCAACTCCTTCCCTCAAAACCACCATATAGAGCACTGCACACCAGAACAACCAGACACAAGGACAGTTTTTTCCCCAAAGCCATCACTCTACTAAACAAATAATTCCCTCAACACTGTTCAACTATTTACAAAGTCTGTACTTCTATTACTATTAATCTTCTCATCACTCCTTATTGCCCATCCCCTCCCACTTGTGACTGTAGGACTGTAACCTTGTTGCTTGTATCCTAACGATTTTTTATATTGACTGTTCCCTAGCGTGATTGGATTGCTTATTGTACCCTATGACTGTCATTGTGTGGTACCTGATGATTCTTGACTCTTGATGAATGTATCTTTTCTTTTATGTACACCAAGAGCATTTGCACCAAAGACAAAGTCCTTGTGTGTCCAATCACACTCGGCCAATAAAGAATTCTACCTTATCACCATTGCTGCATTCCCCATGATCACATGTTCCAAATTCAGGTGCGCGGCAACTGACCTCACATGTATGATGGTTGTCCTGGGGTCATGTGATTCTCTTTTGCAACCCCCTGACAAGCTAAGTCAAAGGGGAAGTTAGATTCCTGTAATTACTGTTAACTGCTATGATCCACTTAACAATGGGGGCAAGATAGGTCGTAAAAGGAGGCAAAGCTCACTTAACAACTATCTTGCTTAGCAGTGCAAATCTTGGGGTCAATTGTGGTTGTAAGACAAGGACTACCTGTAGAGTAATAATAACAAAAGGAAGATTTTCCCCTCCTCCCCAGATTTTGGAGGAGACAAAGAATGAAAGCACCGACTAGAAAAAGCTTCTGCTATGAGGAGAAGAAATTCCTCTCCTATAAGGAGAGGAAATTCTTGGTTGTTAAAGCAAGGAGAAACAAATAATCTTTGTTTTTTCTACCCAGCTGTACAATAGTTTAGTCCAGTGGTCACCAACTGGTGGCCAGGGACCACTGGTGAGCCGCAAGAAATTTTGGTGGGCCGCAAAGAAATGTCACTCCCAAAACAATTAATCCCGGCTGCGCGGGAACACAAGGCTGCACCGCCCACATGGCCCGCGGGAAACCTCCCCGCCCGCTCACTCCTTACCTGGCAAACTTGCCTGCTAATTGCTATTTTTCCTTTTTCCAACCATCAGGTGTTCTGCTGTGCCCGGAGATTTAGATTAGCTAGGAAGCAGTAAATAGTTGCATTTCTTGCTTTCTAGCTAGTCTTTAGATCTTCGGCTCTGCTTTTAAGCTTTTAAGCGGAGCCGAACCTTCCTTAGGACTGAAGCTTCTATTATTCAGTTGCAGTCCCAGGTAGCAGATGGCAGAAACACTCAGATCACTAAGTGAATCTGTGATTCTGTGAGCAACTCAATCTGCCTGCTTGCTTTGCCTGATTTTGAGTAAAAGTTGCTCTTTTTTAATAAAAAAATTCAATATTTACATACATGGTGTGTTGAGAGTTAATTTTGTGAGTTTGATTGCTAGCAAATTTTATGTGACAGACTCAGCTAGCCGATGGCAGAAAGATAGATCTCTAAGTGAATCTGTGATTCTGTGAGCAACTGAATCTGCCTGCTTGCTTTGCCTGATTTTAGGTAAAAGTTGCTCTTGTTTTATAGAAAAATTCAATATTTACTTCAATATTTATAATATTTACCTACAAGCCATGCCCGGCCAGACACATGACCACCAAGCCACACCCACAAATTAGGCCATGCCCAAGAACCACTTGTTAAGAAATTTGAGTCCCACCTGTCTCTTTCTGTTTGTGTGTGTGTGTGTGTGTGAGAGAGAGAGAGAGAGAGAGAGAGAGAGGGAGAGAAGGAGGGAGAGGGGGAGAGAGAGAGGCTAGATCAGATCTCTCTCTCTCTCTCTCTCTCTCTCTCTCTCTCTCTCTCTCTCTCTCAACGTCAGCAAGCCACCATCAGTCAAAATTCATATTAGTGGTCCCCAGGATTTAAAATTATGACTTTGGTGGTCCCTGAGGTCCAAAAGGTTGGCGACCCCTGGTTTAGTAGCTCCTTTGTTGTAGAATTTCAAACTGAATTGTACCAAGCAGAACGTTATAAAACTGTCACCGTACGATTCATCTGCATGGAGCTCTTCCTTCTGAGGGAGCCCTGAACGATATTATGCAAAGGAAAACCAATCAAACAACCCATCAAACAAACCAGCAACTGGAAGCAAACAAAAGGAGACAAAGAAATCTGAGGAATCTTCAGAGCAATTTGCTGGAAAGGCAGGTTAGAACAGAATAACAGAGCTGGAGAGGTCCTTTGGGAAATAAGTTAAGCTCCATACTATACAAGGATTAAAACTGAATCCACAATTAACACGGTTGAATAAAATCAATACACAAGCCACGCCGTAATATACTCACGCGAAAACCGGTTTCAGGAATAGGGTGTGTGTGGCTAGTCTGAGGAAAAGAGGGGGCCAGGGGGGTGACATGAGAGCAGGGGTAGGATATTTGAGGGGCTGCCCCAAAGAAGAGGGAGTCAAGGCATTCCCCAAAGCAGCTGAAGGCAGGACGAGAAGCAACGGGTGGAAAGTAATGGAGAGGTTGGGTCCCCGTTTGTCTGAAATGCTGTAGGGTCTCCTGCTTGAGGAGGGGGTTGGTCTAGAGGACCTCTAAGGTCCCTTCCAACTCTGTTGTTCTGTTAATGAAAAGAAGGACTAGAGGTGATATAATAGCAATCCTTCCACTGAGGACCTATCTACTGCATGAGTCAAAAACAGGGCTGTGAAGATATTTACAGACCCCTCACGTCCCGGACATAAACTGTTTCAACTCCTTCCCTCAAAACGACGCCACAGAGCCCTGCACACCAGAACAACTAGACACAAGGGGAGTTTTCCCCTGAATGCCATCACTCTGCAAAACACATAATTCCCTCCAGGCTGTCTAACTATTTACAAAGTCTGCATTACTAATGCAGACTGCATTACTAATACTGACAGCATTTGCATCAAAGACGAATTCCTTGTGTGTCCAATCACACTTGGCCAATAAACGATTCTATTATTATTATTATTAATCGAGCAGTCTTCCAGTATTTGAGGGGGCTGTCACAGAGAAGAGGGGGAGTCAACCTCTAACTCCAAATCACCTGAAGGCAGGACGAGAAGCAACCTAGAACTAAGGAGAAATTTGCCACCCAGAAGTTGTGGATGCTCCAACATTGGAAGTTTTCAAAAAGAGGCTGGATAACCTCTAAGGTCTGAAATGGTTTAAGGTCTTCTGCTTGAGGAGGGGGTTAGGCTAGAAGACCTCCAAGGTCCCTTCCAACTCTGTTATTCTGTTCTACATGCCTGGGGTTGGAAAAATAAAACCAAATTTTCCTCAATCACTAACACAACCATCGAAGGGAGGGTTTAACCTTTTCATCTCAATATCCGTGAGAACGTCCAGGTCTCGAATGCCTCACCAGGAGGGTAAGTAAGAGTCATCTGGAAGGCCAGAGGAAAAGCTGGCCGTCACAAAGAGAAGGCACGATTCTCAAGGGCCACTAAGAGGACCTGAAAAGAGTTTGGAGGAGGCCAACTCTAGTGGTTGTAACAGAACAAGAGCTCCAAAGAATAACCTTGCTAGCTGAATCTTCTGGACCAACTTCAAGACTTTATGCAAGATCAAGTCAGTCTTCAAAATGATTGCCAAGAGAGGATGACTTAAGGTCAACCACATTGGTCTAGGAAGCAGAACAAGTGGCGTGTCCAGCTAATAAAGGAGAACATTTGTAGCTCAGGGTTGAAAGGAGGGATGCTCTTAGTGCTCTGTGAGCTTGCAAGACATTCCATTACCCAACTAGGTAACATCATCAGTGCTAGGACAGTGCTAGCAGTGATGAGATCTAGCTGGGCAATAAATCGTCCTCTTTTAATGACTCCATAATCCCTTGTGGAGCGGAGTCAGGGTGTGATGACCCAGGGTGAGATACAAAAGCAACAAAGTCACAAAAACAGGTGAATTCCCTTTAATTCCTTCAACTTGGCTTCAGAGGTCCAATTATCATTGACCTGGAGCAAAAAACTCACCCACAAACAGTTGTGAAAAGGAAGAAATGCCATTCAAACTCAAAATACATATAAATTATAGATAGAAAAGACAACACAAACCACACTGAAGCAATTAATGAGACAAGGCAGGATAAGGGCTTGAAGATGTCCACAGATATCGAAATACACACACTGGGAAGGACGCCAGAACTCAGATAAGAACTGTAAGACTAGAATTATTTCCATGCTTTGCTTCCAGCACTGGCCCATGAGCAGTTTGTCCTTTTAAACAGTCTTCACAGCTGTAGCCCATGAAGGGGATCAGGGCCCTTTCCTCCCCCATAGACCATGCCATTCATGTTTCTCCCTTATCCGCTCCTCCCTGTGTGCCCTCAGATGAAGAGGGGATGGGCTTGGCTCTTCTTCTGAATGCCCAGCCGACCTGTGCCCTTCCCCAGTTTCCTCCACAACCTCCGGAGCCACACTCTCACTCCCTGTCACAGGGCAACTGGATGGAGCTAAGTGTTTACTGGCCGGATGCCTTTCCTGTTGCCATAGCTGGGTAATGAAATGTCTGCAAGAAAACAATCAAGCTCAGAGAGCACCAAGAAAACCCGCCAAGAAAATGAGGCCTGTTAGGTCCAAAACAACCCGGAAGTTTCTGAAGGAAAGTGGTGTTTGAAACTGCAACTGCTGAAAATTAATGTGCAATTCCTCAGCCTTGCAGTCAGGAATCACACATACTATGACGGTCTTAAAATAGGATTAAAGCATATGGGGGAAAAATTCTGAAGAAATCCTAAGTCCATATCTTTTATCGTCGTAAAAAAATAATCCTGGGAGAAGGAAAAATCTTAATTCTGTCCACATGAGTTACACATCCTTCCCAGTGTTGAATCCCAAACAACCACTTACTCAATTTGTATCTCTTGCTCCAGAAACCTCAAACATTTCAATGTGATATTTAGTGGCCAAAATGTTGCTTTTCCCCCATTTTATTTACACCTTTGTTTTCCTGCAAACCAAATAATGATACTTCTGTTTGAGGCCTGTCTGCTTGTGTTTTTCCTCTTTTGTGGACTACTCTAAAGAAAAATACAGTAACAAATGCAAGAGGAAACATTGAAAAAAGATTTGTGGGTGGGTGTGTAAACAAATAAAGGATTTAAAATATGGAGTCAGTTTTCTAGAATATTATTAATTTGTTATAAATACTTAATACTTAAATATTTGCTCATTATACTGATTAGTACATACAATTGTGAATATTAGTGCATACATTACATTACCATAAACCTAATAATGAAGAACTGTAGCCAATGATTTATAAATCAAATGAAATCCAACCATTCTGATTTAGATATAAAAGTGAAATGAAGATTCTACATGCTTCACCTGTAGCTGTCCCAGGTGAAGTCTCATTTCAGAAAAGACTTTTTCCTCATCTGAAAAAGAGCTATGCAATTTCAGATTTCAATCTCCTCCAGTTATTAGAGATGCTACCTAATTAAGCTTAATTGGAGTTAGTGAACCACCAAAAGACCATTTTCTCCAGCTTTAATGTTCAGCTCAGACCAGAACATTTATGCCATTTCTTCTGTACGGTTTGTTCTCCGGTTCTGCTTGATGAAAATTGCTAGAAATTTAGATTGGTTATAGATTTGTACAATGAAAAGAAAAACCCAAACCCCAAATGTAATGTAAATCAGTTGTAAATCAGTTCCTTTACAGAAAAGCCACTTGAGTAGATGCGACAGGCTCAGTGAGCAATACTTATGAATATGTGCATGTCCTGGAAATCAGGAAAATGAAACAATAACAGGATAATGAATTTGAAAGGGACCTCAGAGGGTCTTCTAGTCCAACCCCTGCTCAAGCAGGAAACCCTATCCAATTCCAGACAAATGGCTGCACATATCTTCGTCAAGTCCTTTCCTGAAGTCAAGTAGATAGAATAGAATTCAGAATAGAATAGAATAGAATAGAATAGAATAGAATAGAATAGAATAGAATAGAATTATTTATTGGCCAAGTGTGATTGGACACACAAGGAATTTGTTTTGGTGCAAATGCTCTCATTTTTCATAAGAAGAAAAAATACATTCGGCAAGAATCACAGGTATAACAAAAACTATATATAACTATATATATATAAAACTATATATAACACAGACGAACCCAATACACAAGCCTGATGATGGCAGATGAGATTCTGCCGAAATGTCGCTACAACTTTAAAAGCACAACTACAATGACGTGGGAAAATACCCGAACAAAGCTGAATACCATACATACAGATACCCGCGAAAACTTAAGAAAACAAATATATATAACTATATATATATATATATATAAAACTATATATAACTATACGACCATTATTCACTCTTACGACTGTGGCAATATCCCCCAGGGTTAATGTCACCGAAACTCAAGATGCTCTTGGCAACTGTCCCGTACTTATGACGGCCGCAGCGTTCCCCACCCCAGGGGTTACATTTTAGTGACCAAACTCAAAGGGGGTGAGGAGGTTAGATTCACTTAACGACCATGTCACTTACTGCATGATGGGTAACGACCATGTCACTTACTGCATGACGGACCACTTACCGATGGCCGGCAAGCAAAGTTGCAAAAATGTGGTAGGAAGAGGGCGGGCCAAAACCTCACTCCACTCCCCGTCTCGCTTAGCGACGGACATGTGTGTGGGGGGAGATCCTCCAAAAAAGTGGTCGTATGTCGAGGACTCCCTTGCATTCTATGGAGCCCAGGCGAAATTGGTCCAGGAAAGGGCTAAAGACGCACCCAAGGCTTGTTGATCGGCCTTGGGCTACTTCCCCACACCACCCCCAACTGCCGTAAGGCGCACTGCTCCTGACCATGGAGGCGCCACTGGGCGAACCGGCCCGCCTTTCCTCCTGGAGACCCGCCGACTCACCCTGACTGCCCCTCGTGGCGGGGAGTTCCGCAGGTTAAGTGTGGTTTTCCCCCTCCCCGCCCCCCGCTCGACGACCTTAACCCGGGTGGCAGGAGGGGAAAGGGTCCCCCACCTCCTTTCCCCGGGCAGGGAAGGCCTCCCCCGGCCCCCGTGGCTCACCTTCACCAGCCACATCCCGGTGTTCTGCTTGGCACCGGTCACATCCAGTTCCCCTTTCTCGCTCATGGCGGCGGAGGCGCCGGACTGTTTTTTTTTTCCACCGGCCGCAAAGGGTCGAGGAGGCAACCGCGCGGACCGCAATCGGCGACGGACCAACGGCGACGGGTCCTCGCCGGGGTCAAAAAGTAGAACAAAACAAAAGAGGGAAAAAAAGGCTTCGGCGCCTGTACGCGTTAAGTCGGGCGACGTGCGCCGAGGAGGCGTTCGACGGGGCGTGGCCCCAAAAGGAAGGGCGGGGCGAGGAGGAGCGGGGAGGAGCCAGGGCTGCGCGTGGCTGGAAGGGGCGGGGATGGAGCTTTCCGCAGTCATTATTATTATTATTATTATTATTATTATTATTATTATTATTATTATTATTATTATTGAGCCATTTTTCAATAAAGTTGCAATTTTGGACTGCGGGTATTAAAGGGCTGCAGCAGGCAGGTTGGTGTGAGCCACATCTAGGGTGAACGTGTTGTATTTTGCTTTAATAGAATTTAATTGCTTTTTACAGATTTAACAGAGTTGGAAGGGACCTTTTCGGTCATCTAGTCCAACCCAAGCAGGAAAGCCTACACCATTTCTCACAAAAGGCAGTCCAATCTCCAGTTATCTGTTATTGTTGAGGCTTATCTGGGTTCCTGGCGTCTTCCCAACTGTGTGTGTTTTGTTGGCCTTTCAAGTCTGCAATTCCTTCTGCCCTGTCCAGTTCATTTATTTTATTTTTATTTGATTTATTTGATTTGTCAATCGCTTACAAGATAATAGGTATATGTATAAACATAGTTATCTCATATCCCATGTTATGTATTCATAACAGGTAGAATTGTATTTGCTCAAAATTGGAAAAAAAGGATAAAATTCTGATGGAGGAGGAAGTGATTTAAGAAAATCATGGAATGTGCAGAAATGAGTAGATTAACATTAGCAATTAGAGAGCAAGAAGAAAAAGAGTATTATAAGGTATGTTATTTATTCTATCAATGCTTAGATAGAAATGCAGGAAATTGAAGTATAATATAATAGCAATAATATGTTACAACTGATTATTTTTGAATTATAACCTGAATAAAAATTAGTAAAAATTGAGATTTGCTCTAAAGGATAATATGGAATTGAAATTCAAGTCTAATGATGGTCTAATAATAATATGATATGATATGGAAAGTTAATCAATGCAATATGAATGTAAATTTAAGAGGAAGACTACAGGTATTGTGCACAAAATACATGTACCAACCGACACACTGTATAACTGAAAGAAGGTTTTATTTGTTGTTGTTTTTTGTTTTTTTAAAAAAATAAAAAATCTTTTACAAAAAAAAAACCACGGCCCTTTGGGTGAATATGATCTTCCACAAGTGACTGATGACCTTATCTTGTCAGCAAACCTATTTTGGACATTTTTTGCCATCAGTAAAACAACAAAATGTCAGGGCAAAACCCATTTTTTTCTGGAAGGACCAGAACAATCTGACATTTAAGAAAGGACATGTAGCAAAAAGCAAAGCCACTTTGGAAGATACAAATGAGCTGGTACTAAAACATGCCCAGCAGCCCATTCTTAACTAGGATTGTTAGTTAGCAAGTTAGCTAGCTAGCAAGTTTTCTGACACCCGGCAAGGCTCACAACCATGAGGTATTGTAGAAACAAAATTATTACTCAACGATGTATACCAAATAGATAAATGTTGATCTTTCCAAGAGGGTCTGACAAAGAAAATCAATGGGGAAGCCAAGTTCTCCGGCAGCAGGTGTGGAGGGCTGAGGTCTCGGAGAGTGAGGACTCGGATGAGGGGCCCACATGTGATGCAGGGATGGGACCAGGACCATCAGGGACTGGAGTGCTGCCTTCAGAGATTGTGGAGGCTGGTAGCAATGAAGCAGAGGTCCCCGAGGAGCCTGTGCCCAGTGTGTGTGCGCACAGGGCTGCTCAAAGGAAAAAGCAGCTGCAGCAGCACGGGCAACTCAGGAGTAAGGCTGCAAGGTGATGGCCCCTCCCTCAAGAGATAAAAGCCAGCTGAGAAACTGGAGTTCTTTGCAGGAAGCAAAGAAGTTTTTGCACTCAAGCCTTGTGGACGTTCGGAGTATCTTGGTTGGTGTTTGGGGACTCTTGTGTTTGAAATCTTTCTTAGTAACTTTATCTAGTGTTCTTGGCAGCCTTGCACCACCTTGGCAAGGCTCGTTCTTATCAGAGACAATTAGTTTGAAACAACCTTTTAACTGGGAAGGAAAGGAAGGAAAGGAGTTGTAGTTGTTAAGTCAAGGACTATCTCAAAGGGGCTTTTTTCAAGAGGCAAATGGACTTTCTGTTTTTTCTTGGAAGACGTTTCACTTCTCATCCAATAAGTTTCTCCAGCTCTGATTGGATGGTCCTTTAATTCCCCACCACCCAGTTCAGAGCTGAAGAAGCTTCTTGGATGAGAAACGAAACATCTTCAAGGAAAAAACAAGGAAGTCCAGTTGCCTCTTGAAAAAGCACCTTTGGGACAACCATGACCAGATGATGAAGAATCTCCGTAGTCGGGGACTATCTGTTTGTAAAATCGGTGTTGCCCTCCATCGTTTCAGGAAGCAACATGGCAAAGAATTGAACTAAATATCAGGCAGTAGGAAAATTAGTGACCATCTTGGTCACTAATGGAAATGTAATCTCAATCCATCGAAACCCCCATATAAGGAATCTTTCCAGAATATTGTTTCCGGCAGAAGTCCCTAAGAATTCAAGGAATTTCTCAATTAAAATGGCCTTAAGACTAAGAAGAAAGTATTTTCTACTCCCTTCTAGTGGTTTATTCAGCAGTGTTTTAAGCAACTATAATCCTCTTGAGTTCCTAGCAAAGAATCCAGCTTGGTATTAGGATTTGGCAGCCCCATTTTCAGATTAACACCTTTTAATGAAGGGCATCTGTCAGGCATGGCTTTTTTTTATAATTGTGTTAATCCCCAAAGCTGCTAATCGATTTGTGTTGTTCAGCAAAGGAGAAACTGCTGGGTGCATCTAGTACTTTCTTTTCTTACTTGCACTTGGGGGCTGTGGACAATTAAACAAATTGTAAACTGGCTCAACCTTTAGGATTTAAACTACACCAAGACACACACACACACTGCCCCCCAAAGAAACCTGACTAAGATTAAAAGTTAGCTTTGCTTGTTCTGCAAAAGACAAGATTTTTTAACTGCCTCGGTTAACCATGTTGTAGAAATCTAATTAGCTTTGTCAAAGGGTAACAGGTAACAGATAATCAGAGTTGGAAGGGACCTTGTAGATCATCTAGTCCAACCCCCCTTCTCCCAAGCAAGAGACCCTACACCATTTCTGACAGATGGCAGTCCAATCTCTTCTTGAAAGTCTCAAGTGATGAAGCTCCCACAACTTCCGAGGGCAACTTCTGTTCCATGGGTTGATTGTTCTCACTGTCAGATAATTCCTCCTTATTTCCAGGTTGAATCTCTCCTTGTTCAGTTTCCATCCATTATTCCTTGTCTGGCCTTTGGGTGCCTTGGAACATAGCTTGACCCCCTCCTCCTCTCTGGGGCAGCCCCTCAAATATTGGAACATGGCTCTCCTGTCTCCCCTGGACTAGCCAAGCCTAGTTCCTGCAACCTTTCATCGTATGTTTTAGCCTCCAGTCCCCTAATCATCTTGGTTGCTCTTCTCTATACTTTTTCTAGAGTCTTTTTATAATGTGGTGACCATAACTGGATGCAGTACTCTAGGTGTGGCCTTACTAAGGCTTCATAGAGTGGTATTAGTACCTCAGGAGGGGGAAATGATTTGGCTTTCAAATCATTGAAGCAGGTTTTTGAGAGGTATAAGCATGTAATAATTTCTAATTTCACCGTTTGGAGATTACAATATTGCTTGTGTGACCCAGCCCACTAGCACAACCCCACTTGCCTCAACTATTCTCTCTCCTTCCATGCTGATTTTTTTGTTCTTCAAAAAAAAGCACCTTGCCCGACATCGCTGTGATTTTTAATTACTTGCCAGCGATTTGAGCAGCATCTGACCCATGCAATCGGATGCATTTAATAGCTCTCCAGATGCTATTCTGCTAGCAAGAATCCCCTCCGCCGGTGCTGGTTGCCAGGGAGACGGTAGACTTGTCTCCTATAGCCTGACATCAAGTTTTGGCAGCCTTGACTGTTTGTTCCCTCCGGGCTTAGTGAAATTCCAGCCGAGGCTTCAATACTTTCAAAAGAGTTGGAACTCTTAATCGTGCTCGGGATATTAATCGGGAAACAAGAACTCAACAACGGTAAAGCGATGTCTCCTCCGGGGGCCTTCGCTTGTTTTCTGTTCCATTTTGATTTAATCCATTTCTAGTCAAGAAAAACCAAAAGTACACATATAATTGACTGGGTGAAACCAGACTTGATCGCAGGAACTGGGAGCGGGATCTCGGAGTCTTAGTGGACAACCAGCTAAATAGGAGCCGGCCGTGTGCAGCAGCAGCCAAAAAAGCCAATTTAATCCTAAATTGCTGTTGTGGTTAGCGGGCAACAGGTGCGGATGGCTGAGGAGAGCGAGGACTTAGGTGAGGGGCCAGGATCATCAGGGAGCGGGCTGCTGCCTTCAGAGATTGTGGGGGCTGGCAGCAGCGATGAGGAGGTTCCCGAGGAGCCTGTGCCAAGTGCGCGTGCACAAAGGATTGCTTGCAGGAAAGAGCAGCTGCAGCAGCATGGGCGACTCGGGAGTAAGGCTGCAAGGTAATGGCCCCTCCTTCAAGAAGATCAAAGCCAGCTGTGAATCGGACGTCTTTTGCAGGAAGCAAAGATGTTTTGAAACTCAGCCTCGTGGACATTCCAGTATCTTAATTTGGCATTTGAAGACTCTTGTGTTGTGAAATATTTCTTAACTGTGATTCTTGGCAGTCTCGTCAAAGTTTGTGCTTATCAAAGTTAATTAGTTTGCAGCAGCCTTTTAACCTGGGATTCATAAGACTCATTAAAAGGTTTCTGCTCCCTTTGGTTCAAGTTTGTTTTATTGGACAAGGGTTTAGGTCAGAACAGTTGCATTAACAGAGGGATACAATCAAGATCAAGGGAGGTACTAATACCACTCTGTAAGACCACACCTAGAGTACTGCATCCAGTTTTGGTCACCACATTATAAAAAAGATGTTGAGACTCTAGAAAAAGTACCAAGAAGAGCAACCAGGATGATTAGGGGACTGGAGGCTAAAACATACAACGGTTGCAGGAACTGGGCCTGGCTAGTTTAGTGAAGAGAAGGACCAGGGGAGACAGGATAGCATCTTCCAATACTTCAGGGGCTGCCCCAGAGAGGAAGGGGGGGGGTCAAGCTATTTTCCAAGGCACCTGAAGGCCAGGCAAGGAATAATAGATGGAAACTGAACAAGGAGATTCAACCGAGAAATAAGGAGAAACTTTCTGACAGTGAGAACCTTCAACCATGGAACAGAAGTTGCCTTCAGAAGTTGTGGGAGCTTCATCCCTGGAGGCTTTCAAGAAGAGATTGGACAGCCATTTGTCAGAAATGATATAGGGTCTTCCACTTGGGCGGGAGGTTGGACTAGATGACCTACAAGATCCCTTCCAACTCTGTTAATGACTTTAATCTGTCTTTAATGAACAAAAGGACCAGGGCAGACAGGATAGCAATGTTCCAATATTTCAGGGGCTGCCAGAGAGTGGAGGAAGGGGGTCAAGCTATTCTCCAAAGCACCAGAAGGCCCAACAAGGAACAATGGATGGAAACTGATCAAATTCAAATACGTCAGTCTTATTTGAGATGTGATTGAAGGGCAGAAAGACTGTAGACACAAGACTGAAGATCTTTATTGGAGACAAGAATGAAGCCATATGTACAGATTGTTTTTTTTTTTTTTTGCCAGGACAGTACAACCATCACAAGCAATATAGGACTTAAGTTCCAGGGGTTAAAATCGACAATATCTTTTGCCATCTCAAATAACCTTTCTTAGTCAATGGCTGTTTGGGCTGCTGTCATCAAAGCAAATTGGAGCCTCTTTTGCTACTTCATTCCTCACAAATCTTTTCACCCAGGATGAATGTCCGCCCATTCGAGTTGCTTCCCCTTTTTTAATGAATGTTTTGGGTTTAATGCTTTACTTCATTTAATGCACTGTTTATTAGGGACACTAGTGCTGTTTCTATTGGAAACCGCTTTCAAGATATTTGCAATAGGATATGCTTTTAGACAGTTTGGGAGCATTTTAAGAGAGTTGATTATGCTTTATTCATAACCCTGTCAAATGTACAGGTAAGGTTCTGACATTTGAAATCCCAAGGTAATCTGAGCTGAAATGTTTTCTTTTTAAAAAAAAAATCCGTTATTTAAAACTTAAAACGTTTCAAGTAGGCTTATTCGTTTTCACAACACTAATGTAAAGGAAATCTCCACAGGAAAGGGTGGATTCTTCACAATTCACCTTTTGCCATTCCTGGGGAAAGAAACTATACATTGAATATCACCAGAAGAGGAACAGCAATTATTTTTTCCTATGTTTGTGCATGTAAAGGGGAGAACAAGCCCTTCAGGAGGCAAATTCTACTGCATGAGTCAAAGAGGGCTGTGAAAATATTTACAGACCCCTCACATCCCGGACATAAACTGTTTCAGCTCCTTCCTTCAAAACGACGCTATAGAGAACTGCACACCAGAACAACTAGACACAAGGGGAGTTTTTTCCTGAATGCCATCACTCTGCTGAGCAAATAATTCCTTCAATACTGTCCAACTATTTACAAAGTCTGCACTACTATGGTATTACTATTAAATCTTCTCATCACTCCTTATCACCCATCCCCTTCCACTTGTGACTGTATGACTGTAACTTTGTCGCTTGTATCCTTACTATTTTTATTGACTGTTTCCTAGTAGGATTTGATTGCTTATTTGTATCCTGTAACTATCATTAAGTGTTGTACCTGATGATTCTTGATGAATGTCTCTTTTCTTTTATGTACACTGAGAGCATTTGCACCAAGACAAATTCCTTGTGTGTCCAATCACCACTTGGCCCATATTCTATTCTATTGTATTCTATTCTATTCTATTCTATTCTATTCTATTCTATTCTATTCTATTCTATTCTATTCTATCCCCACTGCCAGACTCATGCAAACAAAATCCAGTCATCCATGCAACAGAATGTAGCAGAACTTCAATTTAAAGGAACATTATTTTTCACATGTGTGTGTCGTATATACAAAGGATTTTTTTTTTTTTAAATTTAGCACGCCGGCTATTTCGGTCAGCATCCCTTATAAAAACGTGTTGCATTTGCCATGGGAAAACCTCGTGTTCAAGTCTCTGGACTGTTTTATGAGGGCTTTCTTTCGGGCTTCATCAATCTGGTGGACTTGGAGATCCTGGTCTCGATCGAAGGGCCTTCTCTCCTGAGGTTTATTCTTTTCCCCGTCAGTTTGACTCTTGAGCTTCTTCCGATGGATGTCCAGAAGAGATTCAGATCTCTGAGAGTCCTGGAATTCAGAACATTTAGAATAATAAAGGTTACGAGCATTGGAACATTGGAAGAAAGCCCATATACACCAAGGGTCTTCAAACTTGGAAGCTTTAAGACTTGTGGACTTCCAACTCCCAGAATTCCTAAGCTAACATGACGGGAGAAGGAATTCTGGGAGTTGGAAGTCCACAAAGTCTTAAAGCTTCCAAGTTTGGGGACTCCTGATGTAGATATTTATATAATCTATGTCACCCATCCTCTGTCTGTCTATCATCCAGCTAGCCAGCCAGCCAGCCAGCCAGCCATACATTCTCTGTCTCTCTATTTATCTATCTAGTTCTGTATCTAGATTTTTATATAATCTATATCACCCATCTCTATCTATCTATCTATCTATCTATCTATCTATCTATCTATCTATCCATCTATCCATCCATCCATCCATTCAATCATCTATTCCTCCCTCTCCCTTTCATCCATATGCCCAAGGGTCTTCAAACTTGGCAACTTTAAGACTTGTGGATTTCAACTCCCAGAATTCCTGAGCTAACATGACTGGAGGAGGAATTTTGGGAGTTGAAGTCCACAAGTCTTAAAGCTCTCAAGTTGGAAGACCCCTGATATAGACAGATGTTTGATGATAGATGTTGATAGATAAACAGGCAGATAGATGCTAGATAGATCGACCGATAGACAGACAGACAGACAGAGATAGATAGACGTTAGACAGAGACAGAAGAAAGGAAAGAAAAGAAAAGAAAGATGTTGGATAATCCAGGATACTATTGGTTCTCCTCATAAAGTAAAAGCACTGTTTGTACTACTAGTGACTTCAGTCTCAGCTAATAACTTTGCTAGGATGCAGTGTATGGTCATGTTTCCATAGAAACTCAGAAAAAAGATATGATCTTGAAAAAAGAACATATGATCTTGGTATTTCTGAAACCAGCAAGAGGTTTCTGACGAGACAGCATTGGAGCTCCACAGAAACCAGCATCGCCGCCGGAGGAGGGCAAACAGATGATGGGATACCTACATTGTAGGAGGAGATCTGCTCAGCCAGCCTCCTATCTCTCTCGGAGGGGAACGCTTCTGCATCGTCCTTAGAGGTGGGCTTTCTTGCTTCCTGCTGTTCCTGGAAGACCAGAAAGGAAAAAAAAAAGGAAAAAGATGAGTTAGCAGGTACCCAAAGAAATGCACAAACCATGAAGACAATCTTGGTTAATCGAGGTCTTCTTTATGATATCTTAAGGCACCCACAGGACACTTTTGAGTCTCATGGTAGAAAAACCATGACTGCCCAGCTGAGGTTCACGTCGTTTTATGACAGGAAAAAGAAAATTTTTTATTTATGGTATGCTGACATTTTTATCTATTCATGCTGAGAATGTACCCAGCAGGGGGACGTTCTCAGCGTAAGTAGGGTTGACTCAAAGGTTCCAGCTGAGAGATTTTGACTTTTTTAACCTGTCCAGGATCAACCCCCACAAAAAGCAAGGTGGGAAGCATGCTTTTAAAATTAAAATTATAGAATTTTTAGATTTTTTTTTTTTTTAGTATAGAATAGAGCTGGAAGAGACCTTCGAGCTTTCTTTTTATAGATTCTGTAATGAGCCAGGGTGGGGATACAAAACAAACACAGTCACAGAAAACCCGTTGAAGCCCCTTTTATTCCTTCACTTTGCTTCCAAGCTCCAAATATCTTTGATGGAAGACAAAAAAAACCTCCCACACAGTTACACAAAGAAGGGAAAAAGCAACACAAACCAGGCAAGATAAGGGCTGGAGGACACCCACAGATAACGCACACTGGGAAGGATGCCAAACTCAGAGAGGAACCATAAACTAGAGATATTTCCATGGTTTGTTTCCAGCACTGGCCCATACGCAGGTCCGTCCTTTTAACCAGTTCTCACAGCTGCAGCCCATGAAGGGGATCAAGGCCCTGTCCTCCCAAGTAGACCACATCTCTCTCTTATCCCCTCCTCCTTGTGTGCCCTAGGATGGAGAGGGGATGAGCCTGGGTCTTCCTCTGACTGCCCAGCCAGCCTCTGCCCTTCCCCAGCCTCCTCCACAACCTCCGGAGCTGCACTCCCACTCCCTGTCAGCTGTTCCTCCTCTCCCCCAGAGTCAGCCTCCACCAGGGGCATGACAGATTCACTAGATCTGAAGTGGATAGAGAAACGAGGCAGTGTTGTAAACTATTCCACAGGTGGGCTTATTCATGTTGTGGACTGCGCACCCGTTTGGCCATATTCCTCTCCTGCGGAAAACCATTTGGAAGCATCTGAGAAAAACAGGGCTCAACCATTTGGCCTGTTCTGTAATGCCAGGCATGCTATAGCCTGCTAGATGTATGTAAAAAGCTAACATACAACGGCTTCTACTGTGTCAGGCATGGTGGGGGAACCGGACCGTCGTATGTACAGCATGTGAGGACCCAAAGGGGCGTGGCACAAAAGCAACCAAGTCACAAAAGTAGGTAAAGTCCCTTTAATTCCTCCAACTTGGCCCCCAATGTCCAGTTTTCATCGGCTGGAGAAAAAACTCTCCCAAGAACAGTTTTTAAAGGGAAGAAACTCAGACCGAACCCAAAGTACATCTAAATTATAAATAAAATCCAACACAAACCACACTGCAGCAATTGAGACAGGGCAGGATAGGGAATTACAGACTTCAAAAGATAACAAAAAACACTCAGTTGGGAGGACGCTAGAACTCAGGTAAGACTTGACAAACCAAAATAATTCACACTTTGCTTCCAGCAAGGAGCTGTGTGCAAACACCCTTTATATCCTGTTTTCCCAGCTGCAGCTAATGAAGGGAATCAGGGCCCTTTTCTCCCCTTTAACCCACGTTGCTCCCTTATCTGTTCCTCCCTGCGTGCCCTAGGATGAAGAGAGGGTGGGCCTGGGTCTTCCTCTGAAGGCCCAGCCGGACTGTGCCCTTCCCCAGTTTCCTCCACAGCCACTGGAGCCGCACTCCCACTCCCTGTCAGCTGTTCAACCTCCCCCTCGGAATCAAACTCCAACAGGGGCATGGCACAGGAACAGTTTGTTTTAATTATAAGTCAGCTTAAAATCTTGGGAGGAAAAGTAAAAGATACAATGGTACGGTGGGGGAATTTTTTTTTAGTCATCATATAGAATTAATATATATTATAATATAATATATATTATATTATAATAGCTTCTATCATATAACAATATGCATAATAACATTTTCCCAATGTTTAATTTCTAGCTCTATTTTTTAGCCTTTAATAATACAAATCACAGATTAAGATGTCTCGATCCATTTCAGAGTCAGGAAAGCTGAAGGTCATAAAAGCATTTCTATCGAGTAAGAAACTATAAGCCCAAAGAAAAGTTTGAAAAGTTAAAATCCACGCCGGCGGCATGCATTTTAAACTTTCCAAATTATTATTATTTTTAAACTACTTATTTGCTGGATAAGTACTGGATCTGCCAACCCACAAATATGAATGAAGAAGATTTTCACTGACAAACCACCCAGGAATACAGGCTTACCTTAGCTTTCTTTTCTCTATCGGCCGGCGTATCCGTCCAAATTGATCTGTCTCCAGAATTATCATTCGCTCTTCTTTTGAATGTCCGTGGACCAAAACCAAAGTTTTTGAGTTCTGGGGGAAGATCGATCATCCAAGATTCTCTTTTTGTTTGTTTGGACCCATCCTTTAAAAGGAAACAAAATTGAGACGCATCTGTGAACAACTGACTGGCGAATGCCTTCATAACGCCGTTGGGTTTTTGAGAAAAAGCAACAGAAATAATGTACACAACTCACATCCGCGTCTCCCAGAAGTTTCTCCTTCATTCTTCGAGCCCGATCTTCAATCTCAGCACCGGGGTTGGACTTCACCGATCCCTTGGCTGGCATAGGACCAAATATATCTTCCTCTTCTTTGCTACTATCGCTCGCCTTTAGCGCAACATAAAGACAAAGAATAAAGACAAAAATCCTGCTGGTTCAGCCAAATGGGAGGTTTTAAATAATACCAAATGTTTATGCAGCCCTTCGGCCTCTAAAGGTTCACGTGCATCACAATCCTCACAAGACAAGGTGTTCTTATCATTTCTTAGCGGCTAAGAATACAGCACTGCTACCTGCAGTTTTCTGGTTCATGTTTGTTAAAAAAAAATAAGAGTGTTTTTTCAAGTGGAAATATCAACTCTTGTTGTAAGATATACATAAGGTACAAACACACAATCTAGTCAAAGAGCAGTTTCCTGAGGATGGGCTCCAAAATGAGTCCAAAAACTTAGGAAAACTAAGCCTCTAGATTTGGTGACCGACCCAGATTGGATCCTGCAATATTATCCTGGGACATGTAGATTTGCCTTGATTTGTAAGGAATAAACTGTTCTCGTATCCTTGCTTGAAATCCTCCTCTTCCACAGCTTTTGCCAGAGTCTAAACTCAAGAGCCACGTATATGTTTTTCAGAGACAATGGCATGAATGAATGAATGAATGAATGAATGAATGGCCAAGTGTGATTAGACGCACAAGGAATTTGTCTTTGGTGCAAATGCTCTCAGTGTACATAAAAAGAAAAGATACATCCATCAAGAATCATAAGGTGCAACACTTAACGATAATCATAGGGTACAAATAAGGAATCAAATCAATATAAATCGTAAGGATACGAGTGACAAAGTTACAGTCCTACAATCACAAGTGGGAGGGGATGGGTGATAAGGAGTGATGAGAAGATTAATAGTAATAGTGCAGACTTTGTAAATAGTTGGACTGTGTTGAGGGAATTATTTGTTTAGCAGAGCGATGGCGTTCAGGGAAAAGCCTGTCCTTGTGTCTAGTTGTTCTGGTGTGCGTCATTTTGAGGGTAAGAGTTGAAACAGTTTATGTCTGGGATGTGAGGGGTCTGTAACTATTTTCACAGCCCTCTTTTTGACTCCTGCAGTATACAGGTCCTCCATGGAAGGCAGGTTGGTAGCCATTGTTTTTTCTGGAGTCCTAATTACCCTCTGGAGTCTGTGTCTGTCCTGTTGGGTTGCAGAACCAAACCAGACAGTGATAGAGGTGCAGATGATAGACTCAATAATTCCTCTGTAGAACTGGATCAGCAGCTCCTTGGGCAGTTTGAGCTTTCTGAGTCGGTGCAGAAAGAACATTCTTTGTTCATTCATTCATTCTTGCCAGAGTCTAAACTCAAGAGCCACCCATGTATTTTTCAGTGACAACGGCTTTAGTCTAGCATGACAACTGCTTGTGATTATATTGCTGTAATTGAGTTTCACAATTTTCTGTCTTCAGTTTAACTCCATCCTTTCAGATACAGTACTGAATTTCAGAAAGTTGTAGGATTGGGAACCTGCTGAGGTTCCTTGTCTCCATGAGAGCTGATGGGGTGGGAAGGTAACCAACAACAGACTCCGGTTAAGGAAACAATCAAAAAGAAACTATAAAGTATTAGAAGCTAGTTCTTCCTATGAAGTGGCCTACCAGAAGAGTGCCACAGGGCCACAGCATGGTTCCTTTGGCCCTGAGAGTGATGGGTCACAAAAGGAAAAGAAAGGATGTTTGGGGTTCAGAGAAAGAACTATGAGAAGATAGGCATGTAAAATCATAACTGCCTTTCTTCAAATAAAGGCAATTTTTTTTCAAAGCTTGCCTCACATGTCTAATATTTTTCAGCCTGTTACTATCATATGAGTGGGTTGTAGACACATCCTTAACATATCTTACCTTAACACAGGTATCTCCTACATATTTTAACGTCCATGAAAGTTAACAGTGAACTGAGAACACAAATCACCCGATAAACAAGGAGTAACATCTAAATCCATTGATTGATTAATCACCCAGAGTTCTTTCAAAGTTAGCAACTTTATCACGGAAAGGAACTTGGGTCAAAATACGTTGCTCGACACCCATCCCACAAATAAAATGTTGAATTCTTCATGTTTTGTGGTATTATTTCTCATACCTGGCTTTTGTTGCCTCGTTTTTCTTCAGCGTCTTCTGACGGTTTCTTAAAGCCTGGTGGCAAAGCAGGACCTATAATAGGTCTCAAGAATAGAATTAGATTTTAATAACATTCCCCCTATGCAGCGAATCAAGAATGGGCTCTTAAAAGTTGCTCTCAAGCTATTATTTGCAAGCAGGGGAGTTCACATCCCACTTACACACATCTGCCCCTGTGTCAGGATGCCGGCAGTTACTCCAATTAAATCATGAGCCTCGAGCCACACTCCCAAAACTAAAGAGGATTTATTTGAAGGTAACATTCTACATCCGGCATTAACCTGGGCATAGCCAATTCTGAAATATGTAATTCACTGTCACCCTTGATCCTGCTTTTCCCCCCACCCCTCTGGGTGTATCATCCAACGAAACACGTCCATAGCCAAGAGTCATCAATCATGCTCTCCAATTAGATTTTTGTAGGGTAGAAGCTTCGGTCATCTAATCAGTCTTCGAAGAAAATATGAATGGAATGTACTTTCGATTCCACACTGCTGCCTGCTCTTTGAAACACCCCCCTACTTTCTGTTGTCAACTATAAAACGTGTATACAAAATGTTTATGAGTTGACACCCTGCATACTTCTGCGATACAGCTGGTCCTCGACTTACAACAGTTCATTTAGTGACCATTCGAAGTTGACAACGGCACTGGAAAAAAAATGACTTATGACCATTTTTCATACTTTTGACCATTGCAGCATCCCCCACGGTCACGTGATTTACATTCGGATGCTTGACTTGTGATTCATATTTATGACGCTTGCAGTGTCCGGGGGTCATGTGATCCTGACAAAGCAAAGTCAATAGGGAAGCCAGTTTCACTTAACGACCGTGTTCCTAACCTTAACAACTGCAGTGACTCGCTTAACAAATGCGGCAAGAGAAATTGTACAATGGGGCACAAAATGCACCTAACAAATTTCTCATTTAAGAGCATAAACTTTGGGCTCCCTTGTGGTCATAAGTTACAGAGGAATTTAGTACTAATGTTTACAGAGGGAATTTAGCTTGCCTGCTCCTCCAGTTAGCAGTTGGTGTGGTTCTAACATCCTTGGGTGAATTACCTTTCCGGTGACTCCTCTTGCTTTTTAAATCCAGGAGGAAGGGCAGGCCCAAAAAACCCATCCTCATCGTCTTCCTGAGATCTCCTCTGTTTCCTTTGTAGAGATAAGGAAAGCAGATATAAGGATATTTGAAATACGAAGAGCGGTTTGGCTTTCATCTCAAACACAGCGCAACAACTTTTTTTATGCAGGGAATCTTCAAGGAAGCTGCCTTCAGTCAATGAACAGCTGAGGGATGAACTGAAGGGAAAGTGGAGGAAGCTCAACTTTCTTTCCTGGAAGAAAAAGGCGCCCTAATTTTCATGTTTCTGCTTAAGAAAGAGGCAGGCTGATGAAAATGTTGCTGCATATGTCTGCAGAGAAGAGCAACAAGAATGATTAGGAGCCTGGAGGCTAAAACATATAAAGAATTGCTGGAATTTGGTATGTCTAGTTTAATGAATAAAGGACCAGGGGAGACAAGATAGCAGTCTTCCGATATTTGAAGGGCTGCCCCAAAGATGAGGGGGTCAATCTATTCTCCAAAGCACCTTAAGGCAGGACAAGAAGCAGTGGGTAGAAACTAACCAAGGAGAGAAGCAACCTGGAATTAAGGAAAAACTTCCTAATAGTGAGAACAATTAATCAGTGGAACAACTTGCCTCCAGAAGTTGTAAATGCTACAACACTGGAAGTTTTTAAGAAGAAATTGGACAACCATTTGTCTGAAGTGCTATAGGGAATCCTGCCCGAGCATGGGACTTGACTAGAAGGCCTCCAAGGTCCCTTCCAACTCTGTTATTCTATTATGTCTGTGGGCGATGATGCCATAAGTAAGTGATGTTTATATAAGTTAGTGTGCTCCTCCCCCACCCACCCCGCCCTCCAAAAGGCATACTGGCATCAGGAGCAATAGTCAGAATGCAAAGTTTAGCTGTCACTGACATACTGACGTCAACTGCCCCTTAAAATAACAGTTCCATACTTCGAAGCCAATGCACTAACCTGGGAACTGGGCTTGAATCTTCATCCTCTTCGGAATCAGACTCTGTCTCTCCGGCCATCTGAGCAGAGACCCGTTTCTGCTCATCATCAGAGTTTCCCGAGTTTCCCTTGAAGCCAGGAGGCAAGGCTGGTCCTGCAACTAAACTTTATTCTATCATTATATAATTCAGGTGAAATATTGTTTTTTGGGGGGACCATCCAACTGTTTTTTTTTTTTAAGGAGATAAGAATAAAAATAGGCAGGTTCTTCTGTGTGAGCATTGATTTATAGTCTCTTATGTTAGGCTGATTGATTATAGTACAATGACTAGGAGACTGGGATTTCTAGTCCCACTTTATCCATGACAAGTATGTGTATATGTGTGAGTGTGTGTGGGGGGGGTGCCTTTTGACCAATCACTGGGGGTTCTAGTCTGCCTTACCCATGAAAGTCGGGGAGGAGGGGTGACTTTGGGCCAATCACTAGGAGACTGGGAGTTCTAGTCCCACTTTATCCATGATAGGTGTGTGTTGTACCTGATGATTCTTGACAATGTCTCTTTCCTTTTATGTACACTGAGAGCATTTGCACCAAGACAAATTCCTTGTGTGCCCAATCACACTTGGTCAATAAAAGAATTCTGTTCTGTTGTTCTGTTCTGTTCTGTTCTGTTCTATTCTGTTCTATTCTATTATTATCTGATTTGATTGCTTATTGCACCCTATGACTATTATTGTTGTACCTGACGATTCTTGACTCTTGACGAATGTCTCTTTCCTTTTATGTACACTGAGAGCATTTGCACCAAGACAAATTCCTTGTGTGCCCAAACACACTCGGCCAATAAAGAATTCTAATTCTATAATAAAGTAACCTATAATAAAGTAACCTGCTAATGCATCTAATAAACCAGACTTGGTCGGGATCCGCCAAGGAAAGCCACGGGGGCGTCTCTTTCTATTTGCCCCTCCAGCCCCAGCCCTCCTCCTCCCTCCCTCCCTCCCTTCCAGGTTAGCTCAGCCAGAAAGCCGAAAAGAGCCCCGAGCGGGGTCCTTCTCCCCCCGGAGACTCCCCCCGTCTCGTTCCCGCGAGCGAGGACCTCCTCCTCCTTCTCACCGGGCTCGGAGTCCACCGAAGCGGCTAAAGGCGGAGGCAGCGAAGGCCCGATCACCTCACGGGACGCCATGATGCCGCCTGGAACTCCGGCGCGCCTGCGCGGTACGCTCCCCGAGCGCTCTTTCCGGCGCGTAAGAAAGGCGCCTTCCGGCGCTTTCCAAAACGTCGTGATCGGTGCGCCGGAAGTGATGCGTCGCCGAGGAGACGGAGTCGCACGTGCGGCCTAGCAGAGAGAGAGAGAGAGAGAGAGAGAAATGGATGCTTGGTATCATCATCCGCCGCCGCCGCCTCCGTTCCCAGCCTGGGGCATCTCCGGGCACTGGCCGCCGGGGCCCCCCGGGCCCCCCGGGCCCTGGCACTGGGCCTCGCCCCAGGCTCCACCGCCACATTCAGGTCGGTTTCAAACTCGGGCTAGCAGACGTTTCTCATTACCCCCTCCCCCTTGAGCGGTCTACCTCACAGGGTTGTTGTTGCTGATAGGGGGAATCCAGTCTGAGGACGGGCAAGGGGAGCTGGGTATGCATCATCATTAATCATCCTCTTTTAACGACCCATAGTCATTAACTGGTTGGAGCTGAGTGTTTTAGTGGCCGGATGCCCTTCCTGTCACCAATGCGTAGTTCTATTCAGCAGTTATATTTGTCTGTCCATCTCTATCTCTTTCTTTCTTTCTGTTTTTACCAATCTTATTGATTACAATATTTAAAAACATTGAACTGATGGACTTCATTGACATACATTTTTGTCCTTATCCTTCATGTAAGATCTTATATATACATTTATATACAATAGGTCTTTTTATATTTTAAACCGTTTCAGTTACATATCAGTTGAACCATTCATTTTGCGAACTCCCTTTCTTCTCCCCCCAATAATAGAATTTATTTCCTATCATATAGTAATCAAGATTCGTCTTTATCTTTCATTTCCAAGGTTAATCTATCCATTTCAGCGCAGATCAAAATCTTATCTATCGCCTCGTCTTTGCTAGGTATTTCTCTAGCCTTCCATTTCTGGGTAAACACCATTCTTGCTGCTGTAATAACATGGATTATTAAATATATATCATCTTTACTATACTATGCTGACATGATTCCCAATAAAAAGGTCTCTGGTTTATAGTTTATTTTTGTCCCCATCATTTCCTCTAACCATTTCCAAATCTTAACCCAAACCTCCTGGGCTTTTTTGCAAGATCACTTATCTGTTTCTTTTAATGTCCCATAATCCCTTGCAGGGTGGAGTCTGGGCAACTGAATGGAGCTGAGAGTTTACTGGCCGGATGCCCTTCCTGTCGCCAGTGTGGAGTCTTGTTCAGCAGATATATTCTCATTGTGCCCCGAGAGAGAAATATCTGTCTTTACGAAGGATCAAACTCATAGCCTCCTGATGGTGAGACGAGAGCTCCGCCTTTAGGCCACCGCACTACTCACGCAGACTCTATTATTAATACTGTAATAATAGTTACAATAGTTCTTGATGGGCTGATCTCTACCTTCTGTTCCTTCCCTCCTCATCTTTTAATTGAATCCTGTATTTTTATTGGGATTATACTGTGGTTTGTATGTGTTATGCTATTGGTGTGTGTATATGTATATATATGTAAAACACCAATATATATATCTACATGCGCACTATATATATATATACACATACATGCTATATATATATATATATATATATACACACATATACATACACTCTATATCTATCTCTATCTCTGTAACACACCAATATATATACGCTATATAGTATCTAACTCCAATATTTCTATATACATTATATAATATCTAATACCAATCATATCTTTAAACACTATATAATATAAAACATCTACATATCTATATACGCTATATAGTATAACATATCTATATACACTATATATACACATATATAACCAATACATATATACAACCAATAGCATTGCAAATCATGGAAAAATCCCCTCCAAAATATGGGATTTAAGTAAAAGATGGGGAGGGAAGGAAGGAGCAGAATGTAGAGAGGGGAGGTGGAATCAGGCCATCAAGAACTATGATAATTATTCTTACACTATTAATAATAGAGTCTGTGTATGGATTCTGGCTTCTCTTAGGATACGTATGTATGTACCATATGTATGTATAACACACATGCATACGTTCGCACCCCCCACACAGATAAAATTAGAGTAAAAATACAGGCTATAACTAAAAGACAGGGAGCAGAATGTATAGGGCAGATGGGAATCTGCTACTGGTCTCATGTGTCTGTCTGTCTGTCTGTCTATCTATCCATCCATCCATTCATCCATCCATCCATTGCCTATCTCTCTCTCTCTCTCTCTCTCTCTCTCTCTCTCTCTCTCCATCCATCCATCAATTGCCTATCTCTATCTATCTCTATCTATCTATCTATCCATCCATCCATCCATCCATCCATCAATTGCCTATCTCTATCTATCTCTCTCTATCTATCTATCCATCCATCCATCCATCCATCCATCAATTGCCTATTTCTATCTATCTCTATATCTATCTCTATATCTATCTATCTATCTATTTATCTATCTATCTATCTATCTATCCATCCATCCATCCATCCATCCATCCATCCATCCATCAATTGCCTATCTCTATTTATCTCTATATCTATCTATCTATCTATCTATCTATCTATCTATCTATCTATCTATCTATCTAGTTTTTATTACTTTCAATATCATAAGCTCCTCAAAGTTGCCTAGCAGCGAGATGAGCAGCAAACAAATTTTAATACATCCTTTAGGAAAAAAAAATGAGTTTATGTTCAGAGTTTACCGTGCTTTCCGTTCCTGAATAGAATTGCATTTTTATATTTCTATTTATTTATTTATTTATTTATTTCGTAACGCTTAATTCTGATTGAAGGCAGGCATCCTCATTTTGGTGAAGACTGGCAGGTGAAACACACTGGACTGCCACAAGCTGGAGCCTGTCAAGGCAGGAAGCACAGACAGAAGGTATTTGATGGCAAGTTGAGAGCAAACTGTATGGAGCCACTTTTGTTTGTATTTCTGATTTCAACAAAAGGAACACAAAGACGTTTTCATAAGCATGCTGTAGACAGAAAGAGCCCTGTGGGTGCAGTGGTTAGAGATTCGATCCTGACTGGCTCCAGGTTGACTCAGCCTTCCATCCTTCAGAGGTCGATTAAAGGAGGACCCAGATTGTTGGGGGGGCAAGAGGCAGACTCTGTAAACCACTTAGAGAGGGCTGTAAAGCACTGGGAAGCGGGATATAAGACTTATATAAGTCTTATAATAAGTGCTATTTCTATTAAACTCTTTGGTACTATTGCTACCCTTATGTATTCATCCCGGTTTTGTAGTTCTTAGCATTGTGGACACAGGAACAATGCTGTATGTGGTAAATGCTATTTGGCTATGAAAAAGAGAACTTAAATTTGCTGGTTCATCTAGGATGAACCTTTGTAAGTGTTGGGTTCCTTTCCCTGTTACCGGGGAAGAATAAAAACAATGCAATAGTAATGATCACTCAGTAGCCGCCCATGATGTCCTGCTAAGCTCTCATTTAATTCCAGTGGCACAGAAAGTACAGAGCCTGGGTGAAATAGTTTTCTCTGCCAAGAGGAAATCAACCAGAACGTAGGGATTCACTGGAGTTGGCATTTCTTTATGTACTGGCTCGATACCCGTGTGCTTCGCTACGCAACTATGTGGTCGGGCTTAGTTTTGGGGGAGGAAAATAAGGGAGAAAAAATTCTGCTTCTGCCTCCCAGCATCCGTCAGTATTCATCTGGCTAGGGTCCTGTCAGTGTGTGAGAGAGTTGAGGGCTGTTTGGAAACTGAAACATGGAAACTGAAACAGTATTTGCTGGGTGAGCAAGAAGGAGACAGCAAGGAGCCTGGGCTTAGCTCAGCTGTTCTGTACTAAAGCTGCTTGTTAAAGTGAAACTGAAACTCCTCTCTGCTTGTGTTTTGCCTTTGGAAGAGATTTCTTTCCAGGTGGGGATGGGGAGTAGAACTCCTTAGCATCATAATAATAATATAGGAAATCCTAATGCTCTGATGGTCAAAAAAAATCCTTTCTTCGTGAGCCCCTAGAAGCCAAGAGGAACCTACGTGCCAAATTTCAAGTTTGCAGCCTTTACGGTTCTGGAGATTTCGTGATGCATGAGTGGTATTTTGTTTTTATATATATATAATTTTACCGAATTTATCTGCCCGCTATCTCATTTCAAATAACTCTGGGCAGCTTCCAGCTTATTTGGCTTATAATTGATGTAAAGTAGGATTTAATTCATCAGTTAATTAGATTACTTGATTTATATACTGCCAATGCAAGATAGCTTGCAATTTTAAACCACAAACGTTAGCAGAGAAGTACAAAGTATTACATCTCACAGAGAAAGACAACTTGACTCCTGTGAACAACCCAGCAGCAAATTCCTTTCCAGTGTCGATTCTTGGTTCGCCTGTAACACCAAAAGTTTGTTTAAACGAAACCAACCCCTGCTTTATTTCTCCTCCTGGCTACCGGGATGGGCGTGAATAATCCTAGAAGTATAAATGAACCTCATTCTTTTTTATACATCTAGGATTAAACTATTTGTTCTTGCGTTTGGTTGTTTTGATAAAGTCGCCGATTCGTCACCAAAGGAGCACAATGCACTCGGCACCCACCTTTTCCTTCAAGGATGGCTGCAATGAGATTGAAACTTTTTCTTTATGCTTTGATGAACTGCAGATTAGGACTTTGTCCAAATGCTAAACCGTACTTAATTTTAACAATGGATTCTTTAAAACAAACTAGTTTCGCGGGTCATAATTGGAAGTTGCTTTGTTTTGCTAAAACGGTTCAGATCAGGGGCACTTTTATTGTAGTACTGAGCAAAGCAAAAAAAAAAGAGAAGCAAAGATGAGAGCCAGTGGTTATGGTGCCCGACTAGAAAATGGGAGACTGAGAATTCTAGTTGCGAAAGCCAACCGGGTGACTTTGGGCCAGTTTGTCTCTCAGCCCGGTCCACCTCACAGGGTGATAGTTGTGGGGGAAAACAGGAAAGAGCAAAGTGTGCATTGGACATATTCGCTGTCTTGAATTATTGACAAAAATAGTAAAAGTAGATACAAATGAGTAAGTAAAAAATAAAAGATTCTAGACTCTTATCAGAATGGACTGGAGTGGAATGGAATAACTTTATTGTCACTTTGAACGTAAGTGTCCATTCAAAGTGACAATAAGGTTATTCTATTCTATACAATAAAGTTATTCTGTTCTATAATTGGCATACATTAAAAATGAAATTTTGTTGCATACAAGGCTTAAGGGTCACCACCTCCAATTTTACACTACATAAAAATGGCATAAAATAAAAATACAATGAATACAAATACTTGCATAAAAATAAATACAAAATTGTGTGTCTATACTATACTAATATTATATTATATTAGACACCGAAACAACAGTCTAGTTTGGATGTAGACATGTTTATGGCGAGAAGAACAAATCTTGTGAGTTTACCAGACAGATGGCCTAGGGAACAAAGCTCTCCCAGAATCTGCAAAAGTCCTGCTAGAAATACTTCGAAACCTGGCACTTTCATAAATTACATTTAATGGCTGGTAACATTTCTTCAGTGCCAGTAGAAGCTATCTTTTGGGCAGGTCTGTGGTGCCAGTGATGGCATGTAATTCTGTTTAAAAAATTCATTGTAAGGGCCCCTAAGTAGTGCCAGTCCAACAATTCATCATTAACGCCTCTTTTCTTTTTTTTGATAGAACAAGAAGAGAAAGGAACCTGTTTTTACCCACTATTGTGATACATGCGACCGTGGCTTTAAAAACAAGGAGAAATATGAGGAACATATCGCTCAGCACAAGCAGGTGTGTGTGTGATTAGAGCTGCAGGCAGCATTAGTTGCATAAATTATTGAATAACCGTGGAGTCTAACCTTTCAAAGCTGGCATGGAAGCTTGAAACACAAGCCTGTTTCACACATAAGCACTGCAAGCCAGGAATTTTAACTGTGGTTCGCCCCACCTTGGGCGATAATTTTTCCACCCAGCCAGAAGAGAAGCCCCTGTTCCAGAAATGACATTTGCTGTCCCAGCTAACCTCAGTCAGTTAGTTCTGATTTCTGTAGAATTGCAGCTACATTGTGAGAGAGATTACTGAAGTGAGCCCCCACCTATGTACTTTGACGTTTTAATATTTATTGCTGTCTTCGATGTCAAGATTTTGAAATAAGGATTGTTACAGATTGTTCCATTAAGCTGGGACTAAGCAGCACAACTTCTCGGGAATTAGAGAATAAATCCATTTTGAAAAAAAGAGGAAAATGAGGAGCGGTGAGAATGCAGAAGAAATGAAGGGGAGAGAAAGAAGAATCAAAGTGTAATTTCAACAGAGGCGGTACTGCCATTTTTTTAGTTTGCTAAACTGATTTGAATCTCTCTCCTTTCAGTGTACTGAAGATGGCTGTAACTTTAGAGCACATGAGAAGCTGGTTCAGATTCATTGGAGAAATGTAGGTATTTGCCTGGTTCAGATCGATAACTCTTTTCTAAGAATTTTCTTCTCGGTTCTTCTCTATTTTATACATCTTGGGTTTTTGGAATTTGACATATCTGCAAATGTTCGTTAAACAGTTGCAGTGAATAAACAGCAGAACACTTTTATGGAGCTGTTTTGAAGGCTGTGGAATGAGCTTGAGATATTGCAAAATGTTTGATCAAGACTTGAGGCTGATTGCATGCAGGAAGTCCTCAACTTAAGACCACAATTGAGCCCAACATTTCTGTTTGCTAAGGGAGAAATTTGTTAAGTGAGTTTTGCCCCCATTTTAGGACCTTTCTTGCCACTGTTGTTAAGTGAATTACTGCAGTCATTAAATTAGCCACACAGTTGTTAAGTTAATCTGGCTTGCCTATTGTCGGAAGGTCAAAAAAGGGAAATCACACTGCAACCGTCATAAATAAGAATCTGTTGACAATCCCAGCTTTGGATTCATTTTTTTTCCAGTTTTAAATACATCAGTTGTCAGAGTTCCGACGCATGCTCTAATTCAGGGGGTCGCCAAACTTTTGGACCGTAGGGACCACCAAACTCATTATTTTAAATCCCACGGACCAGAGACCCTGGGAAAATCCCCCCCAAAAAAGGTCTGCAGGAAAATTCCCCACCCCGTTTTCCTACCGATCGATCGTTCTTTATTTGGGATTGCAGGATACCGTCTCCAGCTCCGTTCTCAGGGGGAGAGAGAGAGGAGAGACTTTTGGCTTTGTGCAAGGAAAGCAGCAGAAGCAGCAGAAGTCTTTTTTTCTCTCCCCCAAACTCCACCAGAAATGAGTCTTTGTGAGAGTTGTTGTGCCAGCACAGCCTCTTGGAGCAGGAGGCCTTGCAGTGTCCCAAAGACTCATTTCTGGCAGAGTTTGGGGGAGAGAAAGAAAGACTTTTGCTGCTGGCCTTGCGTGCAGTCAAAAGCAGAAGGAAAAAAGCAGAAAGAAGCAGCCCGGTGGCCAGGCCAGGCATGTGGGGTGAGTGGGCAAGTTCCCCCCTTCCCCCCCTCCGCTCACTCCCTCATGTTGTTCACAATGCAAGCGACACAACCCTTGTGTTCCCACGGGCCATGTCGGTGGCACAGCCTTGTGTTCCCGCGCATCCTGGATTAATTGCTTCGGGGGGACATTTCTCTGCGGACCACCAAAATTTTCTCGCGGACCACCAGTGGGCCGTGGCCCACCTGTTGGCAACCCCTGCTCTAATTAATTTATGAGCCTTGAGCCAAGTTTCAAAAGAAATCCATTGATGTGTTAGGAACAACACGTCGACACTCTCCTCTCCGAAGAATTTTTACCTATTTAGCTTCAGCCAGGCTTCCTAAGGGATTAAACTGCCTTCTATCACTGGGACGAGAGAAACACAGTAGTAACGGGAGCGTATTGGGGTTAGGCTCTCCGATCTGATTTCAACCCAGTATTTTATTTATATTTTATTTTTATTTTTTTGCAAATAATTTTAAAAGAGGTGCATGTTTCCAAATGCTTGGAGGTATCTTTGTCTGTGTCTCCCTCCTCAGATGCATTCTCCTGGTGTCAAGCGGATCAAATTGGATACCCCAGATGAAATTGCAAGATGGAGAGAAGAGAGGAAAAAGTGAGTAGTTCATTGCCGGAAACGATACAAATGTTAAGTTTATTAATGGCGGAAAAGGAGAGCGGACGGGTGGTGGTTGTTTATTTGCCCAAACTTCTCTTGGTTCCATCTCTCTGCCTTGCAGGATTTGCAGGATGTAAAATTTTAATTTGCAGGATTTATTTATTCCCCCCCCCGCCCCCCCAAGCAATCGCAGAGAGACCTCAACTTACGACCATAACTGAGTTCAAAATTCCTGTGATGACTCAAAGGGTTGTGGCACAAAGGCAACACAGTCAGATAAGCAATGAGTCCCTTTATTATCTCCAACTTTGCCCCCAATGTCCAGGTTATTCTTCTGGCTGGAGAAAAAACTCTCCCAGGAACAGCCTTTGGCTGCAGAAAAATTCAGTCCAAAACAGGGTCAACACAAACTGTAACTTAAAGTCCAAACAAGCCAAACTGAGCTAATTAGTTTGGCAGGGCAGGAGCAAGACTTTCAGACTGGAAGGCACAGCAAAATTCACAGTTGGGAAGATGCCAGGAAGACAGATAAGCCACGACAATACAAGATAAATTCACATTTGCTCCCAGCGGCCTGCCGCACACAGCCTGCCTTTCTTATCAATTGTCTTCCCAGCTGCATCTAATGAAGGGAATCAGGGCCCTTTCCTCCCCCCGTAAGCCAAGAAACCCACATTGCTCCCTTCTCCGTTCCTCCCTGCATGCCCTAGGATGAAGAGGGGGTGGGCCTCGATCTTTCTCTGAACTCCCCCTCCCTTGTTCTACCTCTCTCCTGGTCTGCCCAGCCTGACTTTGCCTTCCCCAGTTTCCTCCACAACCAGTAGAGCCACACTCCCACTCCCTGTCAGCTGTTTGTCTTCCTCCTCGGATTCAGATTCTGATGGATACTTTCCCTTAATAATCCCCAGAAGAAACAGTTCAGGCTTCAATTCTATTTGGTAGTGTGTAATTTCATTTATCCATTTTTGTATTTTTGATCCAGTATTTTTTAATTTCCGGGCAAAGAGGAGAGCCATTTCGATTAGGGTTGTGATGAATGAATGAATGAATGAATGAATGAATGAAGGTAGCCATTTAATTGATGGTGAGGCCGATGCTCAAACTTACTGACCGCTTCATTGTCCTAAATGGCCTGCTAATTCAGCCTCTTCTTGCGTCTTGCTGTAGAAATTTCCCGACTTTGGCAAATATTGAAAAGAAGAAAGCATTAAAGGTGGAAAAAGAGAGTCGAGGAGAAGTGCTGACCACTTTACAATTTGGGTAAGACGTAACCTCTTGGCTCTTCTTAGTAAACCCGAATCGTAATCAGCTTGTCATCTTTTTGAGTTTTTGAGGCCTATTTTTCAACTCCGGGGTAACGTGGGAAGCATCATTTTAAAATGGCTGCTCCTTGGGGGGTATAGCTGTTCTCCAGATGGGTGCAGGGAGATCCCTTTAAACCCCACTCCAGAATCACTGGTTCCACTCTTTAAAGATTCGTGGGCATTGCTCTCCTGCCAGAAATTGGCTAAAGGAGAATAGAGCCTCACTCTTCATTCTGGGACAGAAAAATCTGTCGTTCTCCTGGACTGAGCATTTCTTGAATTCTTTGATTCTTGGTTAGAACAGTGAATGTTTCAAAACGTCTTGTAAAAAACACCCCAGGGATCTGGGTGTTTGTGAAGGATGGCAATTTGCACATCTCACAATTAATCCAAGAAGTGGCCTGGAACAAACGTTCTGTCAGCGTTCCTGTGATGACCCAAAGGGGCGTAGCACAAAGACAACCCAGCCAGATAATAAGTAGGGGTCCCTTTATTAGCTCCAACTTTGTCCCCAATGTCCCGGTTACCTTCCGGTCTGGAGAAAAACTCTCCCTGGAATCTGCAACAGCCTTTGGCTACAGATATTCCAGTCCAAAACGGTGTAAACAGAAAACTTTAAACTATAAATCCAACAAAGCAAGATAAGGCAAGATAAGGAGTTCCAGAAGTGAAGTAATATGGCAGTAAATCAGACCAGTTGGGAGGATAGCAGGAACTAAGATAACAGCAGCCAACATGAGATAAACTGAAGGTTTGTTCCTAACAAACACCCTTCCAAACTGCCTCTCCTTAAACTCTCTTCCCAGCTGTGGCTAATGAAGGGAATCAGGGTCCTTTCCTCCCCCATAAGCCATGCAACCCACGTTGCTCCCTTCTCTGTTCCTTCCTGCGTGCCCTAGGATGAGGAGGGGGGTGGGTGGGATTGGGTCTTCCTCTGAACTCCCTCTCCCTTGTTCTACCTCTCTCCTGCTCTGCCCAGCTTGACTTTGCTCTTCCAACCAGTGGAGTTCCCTCCACAACCAATGGAGCCACACTCCCCCTCCCTGTCAGCTGTCCGTCTTCCTCCTTGGATTCAGACTCTGACGAGGGCATGACAGTTCCAAGTAACAAACTCCAACCCAATAAACTGAGACAAGCATTTCCTCAAAGTTCCCTTTTATTAGAGTTGTCATGTTGGCACATCTGGGAAAACCCGAATCTGAGAGTTCCAGGTTTCCCCCTCATAATTGAAAAGCAACAATCCCTCCCCTGCACCCATCAGTCCATCCCATGGCCCAACCAAATCTTCATCCCCACCCTCCAGGTGCAGGGCAACATGTCCTTGACTCTCTGAGAAAGGAATGTTGTTGAGTCTAATCTTTCACCTCACTATGAAATTCCCCCTTCCAAATGTTTGACTCTTGACGAATGTCTCTTTTCTTTTATGGACACTGAGAGCGTTTGCACCAAGACAAGTTCCTCATGTGCCCAACCACACTTGGACAATAAAAGGATTCTATTCCCGGGCACTAAAATGTGGCAGTGTGGAAGCGTCGTGTAAGTAAAATACGGCTTTTTCTCCCCCATCTCTTTCAGCAAGATGAAGGGAATGTGGAAACCTCCGAACGAAGGTTCTAGGCCGCAAGGAAACGCACAGCGGAGAACAAATCGGCGCTGGAATAAATCTAGGAATGCTGCTAATAAGAAAGGTGCCCCACTCAACCCTTCGACCGGGACCA